TTCAAGCACGTACGAAAATGTCCGTTTATCGCCAGTGTAATAGATATTATTTTGGTAGCAAATTAAATATCCATGCTAGAGTCTAACCCAGGTCATAATAATACCTCTTACATACATTATAAGTAATATAATTTCATGTAAAGTAATACAAGCGATTGTTGATTCGCATCGACGTGCTAAATGACCTGACTTCATGCACGTCCTATTATTCTCCACTGGGCTCAATGCTTGCGTCTACCGTTAGCATACACGGTTACACCATTCTATTATCACCCATATTTTTTTTAATATATTAAAATCTCTTATAATTATTGCCATATTGTTTTCAAGATTGGTTAGTTGAGATAATAAAATCTAGTATTGTATTGTCTATGTCATAATATTACTTTTTTTTAATTCCGTAACCAAAAACTATAAGTATATATAAATTTGAATTGCCGAATCGTTGGGTTACGTTCCAGTTCTAATTTTAAAACAACTTAATAAAGAATACATACATAATTTTGGTAGTTCTGATATTCTTTTGAAACTTTTGCGTTTACTCTTTTAGACATAACCTCACCCTTGCTTTCTTCTTTTTAATATTCATATACTGATTTAAGCTACAATTGTAATAAAGATAGCGTATATATAATTCAAATTTTATGGTAGTTTTTGTGAAAATGATAATCTTATTAAAAAATGCCCAATTACGAAATTATTCGTCTATGTTTTTACAAGATTCCATTATATATAAAGTTCTTGTAAAGCACCTACATATTAGACTGACATTTCATTGAATATATTATTCATGTTTATTTGATCTCGTTGCCTATTTAACTATATCACAAAGCTTTATGAACATGATAACATTTTCTTCATGAGTAGGCGTTATAAGGACGTATATTATACTTAACATTTGGTGACCCTACTCTGAGGAGACACCCCCTCACCTCGCGCACCAAATGAATAACAAAATCAAAAGCAAATAGGCTTCGCCGACTAGACTAAGAGGTGTTTTTATATGTACTTTGTTACAAATAGATTAATACAGGCTACATGCTGACTAAAAATTACATAGTCATACAAACCTCTATAGTGTAGTGAATAAGAAAGGATTGCATAAGAAAGAAAGAAAGAAAGAAAAATATTTTATTCAGTGCAATGTAAAAACCGCAGATTCGGTTCCTGGTATTATTTTGTGTATTTAATTTATTGAAGTTCGTTTAAATTATTTTAATCAAATATGCACAGTATTGTCGTTATTATCATATAACTCTAATTTAAAATTCAATTAAATTTAGACTATCGTCTTATTTTATATGTTGAGTCGGTTGGTTTATCGGTTAAAAGTAATTTTAGTAACATGTTTTTTTTAATAATAAAATTATTAATGTCCTTTCCATAATTTACACTTATATATAAATAAGAAAGTGTGTTTGTTTGTCTATCTATTTGAAAAGGTATTTTACAACAAAATATTTGAATATACATATTATATCTTATTGCAAGACATTAAGTTAGAGATAAAAAGAATGAAATATACCACCTTTATTTGAAAAATTGTTCTGGAAGTGGAAATGTTAGGGGGTAAAAAATAGCTTATTTACCTCCTAACATTTCCACTTCGTAAATCGTAAAAGGCGTACCTAATCTAAAGTTTATTGTACAATATAATTGTATTATGTCTGATTGTCTGTCCATTTGCGAAAATGTTTTATCGTATACCAATTAATCCAGTAAATGTTGTTTTGACACATAAATGTACTTATATCGCTGGTGAAAATTCAAAGTCGTATGTACTTTATATACCAAAGAATAAAAAAAAATAAAATAATGAACTATGTCGATAAAATAAAATAAAAAAAATTTGGGATCGATCACCCTTATCCCTTAGGGAGAAACTGTTTACGTCCTATTCTCGTATCTACTGAACATACATACAGCGGAGTTTCGGAGGAGTTTTGTTACAAACACTGTAACACGAGAATTTTATATATTAGATAAAATTAATTGTATATAAATACAGATTATCAAGAATCTAATCGTATACACGTGAATTTTAATTATCTTATCAAAAGCAAGACATTTGTCCGTTATCAGTATTCAAATGTTAATAAGTTCATTGGTGAAGGTACATAATCATTTTTTTATTTGTTTACACTGAAATTTCTTCAAATTGTCTGTTTATGGACTGTACAATCTGTACGTAATCTGTATGTAGGTACAATATTGTAGAATTTAACAATCGTTGTTTTTTCAAGCGATGATAATGAAATGATGTCTTCGCTTGCACTAACGAGGAGTGGAGGATAATTAAATAAGTCAGGTCAGTTAGCCTATCATGACAAATTCACTATGAATTTATGGTATTTATGATGGTTTCCAGGGGTAACCGCGCGGAGGTTAACTTGATGTGGTACATTGCTAGTAATGAGGCCATTAATTCACATTACTAACAATCCCTTTCCCCTTATAACAATCGGTTTATATATATTATTATTACTTATTAGTATATTATTACTAGCTGTGCTCGCGACTTCGTCCGTGTAAAATGAGTATTATTGTTTGTATTGGTCTGGCTGTTCTCTGTATAATATGTACATATTTATGAATACTTATCAATAATATTCATATTTATGAATATTTCTATCATTTCTTTAGCTTGGGACTAAATAGCAGTGAATAGTCATGGGTGATGTTATTATTATTTAGATTTACGAGTACGACGTATAAATTTCACAATTCCTTATCTACAGTAGTTAAGTGCCCATAAAATAATATAAACTGAATTGTCAGTAGACTGGTTACGTAATCTAACGATCGAGAGAACAAATATTCCCCTTCTTCCTTGAAGGAGTTTAATTTCAATTAATTTATATTAATTACTTTACGTAATGACAATCAAACTGACAGCCCAGCTGTAAGCTGTAACCGTATATAAATAAACACTACTATGGACATCACGTTACCATGTGATTCGTAAAGAACGAACATATGATGCCTTTTATTTTTTAATTTTACTTCCTTATCAACTACCTTTTCCTTTAATTGAAACACAGCTTATAAAGCTGCTTTGCGGCTGAAATAGATGAGACTGAGGTATAACACTTATAACAAAATCTACCCTAGTGATTTGTGGTTTATGGTTTATTATTGGAATCTTAAATCATGATATTATAAGAACTGGGTACCTTAATCAGAATATCGGATATTTTAGAAGGAAATTCATGGGATGGCAGTGTATTAGTATTTTATAACTACTTACTAACTAGTGTTTTAGAACATAACCATTCTACTGAACAGCTAATGAACATAATAATTAGGGTATAGATCATATTTTGGCAAAATGTGTACCGATTTTGATTATTATTTTTTACTGGGTTATTTAATATGTTTTTGTTCGGTATCTTAAAAAAATATCTTAATTTAATGGATTTTGATAAATGTTACTTAATTACAATTTTTATGTAAATGTTGTTAAGATATAATTTTTATCATTGATATTTTAATAATTCTCCAGTTATTTTAAGTGGACTAGAATATACACTCACGTTGAACTGCCTGATGAGTTTTAGTAATGACAAAATCTAACAACAATCTTCTTATTGGCCTATTAGCATATCATATTTACCATCTCTGTACCATCATCGTGGTAATATTAACCTTGGCAATATGGCGATTCATTACATTAGAGTAATACAGGCCCGGACTGAGACAAGTAGAGGTCTCGGAGCAACATTAGTGTCAGGGCCCTTCTATCCTTAGTAAATAATAATAATAATGATTCTCTTACAAAAAACCACAATACTGGAGACTAGTCACATTACTAGACAATTTCCGACTTCCTCAATAATAACATCTTCACATACCAACCTCTCTCACTCCTGGCTAAGGCCCGTGTGGTTTAATATAGCATTATTTTAAACCAGATAAAAGAAAAGAAAAGAAAAGAAATATAATAATAATAACCCTGGATAATACACGATAAGTAAAGCTTGTATTATGGGTACTAGACAACTGATAGAAATACTTAGTTGCGTAAAATATGTAGACGAGGAATCGAAGCCGCGACCGGACGTAAAGCGGTGTGCTAAACGGCTTGACGACCGAGAATAGTAAATAAGTAATTTATTTGATTACAGACAGATATATATATATACATTTATATATATATATATATACATTTAAGTTATATGGAAAATAAAGTACAATTCCGGTACCTATACATTACGGTCTGGGTGTTTCATTATGTATGTATATACAAAAAATGTATCTATATGTTGATGTCAGTTGTCTAGTATCCATCCTAGTATTCTCTGCTCAGTTTAGAACTAGATGGCGTTGTATGACTTGTCCCTAGATATTATTATTATGTAATACTGCCAATAGAAAGTATGTGGTACTATTGATTTTAAAGAGAAATAAGGTTTTTAACAAGCTAATCTGCAGCTTGTGCTATGGGTACTAGACAACTGTACAAATACATACAGCATTATCATTACATAGTATAAAACAAAGTCGCTGTCACTGTCACTGTCTGTCCGTCCCTATGTATGCTTAAATCTTTAAAACTACGCACCGCATTTTGAAGCGGTTTTTTTTAATAGATAGAGTGATTCAAGATGGTAGTTTATATGCTTAATATACTATACACCAGTGCGAAACCGGGGTGGGTAATATATATAGAAAACCACTAAACTGATAGAAACAATGATACTCATGCGTTCAACCGTTTAGTCGTAAAATGGTAATAAATAGATATACTTTCATATTTATAGTATTAGTAATGTAATATTATATTATCTGTGGTATTAGTATGGTAAATAGGGACCCTTACCCGGCGCTGAAGTCTTAACCAGCCTTTGCCTCTACGAATAATCCAGCACTACATATAATTGATTACACCATAGACGTCACTCATATGATATCGTGTGGTAATAAATTACTTATCATGATAATCAATAATGGATTCTATATTATCTTGGTATTAGGTCTAACAACGTTTATTTTGTTTTCAGATATCCATCCGAGGTGGCAATTTGCCGTTCAAGAGATTCAGCTGTTCTGTCTAAATATGTAAGTAGTTGACTACAGATTAAAATAATTACTACATACATATCGTCACGCTTGTTTCACATTGAGGTAGACAGAGACTAAAACACTAACTTGACTTAACTTGTGTATGTAACTTTTTTAATAGAGATTTTTAATTATCTTATTAATATTATAAACGCGAAAATTCGTGATTATGGATGGATGTTTGTTACTCTTTCACGCAAAGACTACTGAACGGATTTTGATAAAACTTTACAGCAATATAGCTTATACATCAGAATAACATATATATAAATTACACGCGGGTGAAACCGTGGGCAAAGCTAGTTTAAAATAAAACAATTAAGTATAGGTTCTTACAATTAAAAATAGGCTTTGCTAGCTGGGGTGAACAGAGACATTTTCTTAAGGATGATAACGGTATAATGCAACCGCCTACGCTAATGGTATACGCTGGCGGGGCAGCAGTGGAGGATGATAGGATGAACATGAGGTGAGGTCAGTTAACCCATTTTGGAAAATTCACCTGGAATTTACGACGGTGATTTCTAGAGCTAGCAATTAGTAATAGCACTAAGAACCCCCTTCGTCAGATCAGAGGCATTGTCAATTATCGACATTACTTACCGTGGTGAACACTTTCGCATAGAATCTTCCTATAATTGAATACAGAGTGTTAGGAAGTGAACCTACCTCTGTCACTCAGATTATTTTTTTATCCGTGTTTCCATCATCGGAGAGTCAATCAGATATTCATAAATGATATTATATATGAGGTATTAATATGGAAGTTTCTTGCTCGTTCTTTTTGTGATGAGACTGCTTTCCGAAAGAGCGGTAGATTAAAAAAATGCGATGACTATTCAAAAGTGTTCCAATGTAAGTTTATTTCAATATAGTTATAAATAGATTTATATATAATGTAACCCTAGTAATGATAAATTCGTTTAACTCCTAATTATAAGGATTGTAATGCAGTGTCTTGGCCACGAATTATTGCAGGTTTTGAACAGTTGATAATTAACGTAATTATGTTTGAGAGGTTATAATATCACTGGTGACCACACATAACTGATAAAATATTGATAATATGCGGTATAGATATAAAATATAGTATAAAATAACATATAAGTACGAAACAGATAATAAACATATTTTTAATTCATGAATATAGAATGGGGCACACGTCTGTACTAATGGTATACGCTGGCGGGGCACCAGTGAAGGTTCACAGGATGAGTATGAAGTCGGGTCAGTTGGCCCATCGTGGGGAATTTACCAGCGATCAGCTACCATGGTAGACCATGGTAGCTGATCCAACATATTATATTGCTATTACTGAGACTACTAATACTAATATTTTATTGTTTATTGCTGTTTATTATTGCACCTAAAAAAATACAACAACCAAATTGATAGAGTTTGAAGGAACTACAGGCGACCGCCTGTTATCGCTTAAACGTTCTCTTCCAGACAATCAAAACTTGGAATTCCAGAAAACAAATTTTGGGTAGAGGAAGTAAGACAGAAGGTGGTGGATGCCGCATGAATGGAATGAAAGAAATGTAAATAATGTTAGGGAATCCTTATTTAAAGATGCTGTAACTGATAATGCTCATTTATGTTCACCTTAATTCTATTAATAATATAAATCGTAAATCATACACACACAACTCCATCTAGTTCCAAATTATGTCCGTGTCTTTTTCACCAAACTCCTAAACAGCTGGACCGATTTGAATAATTTTTTTGTGTATATTGCAATAGATTTCTGGATGGTACAGAAACACATTTAGAACCGGTAGAAGGGCACTGCTTCCAAGGTATGATGATATCTGTGGTCCGCTAGTATTATGTTATTACATAACAAAACCGCTTATTAAATTTATAATAACCTTCTTTTTAAAAAGGTACACGTCCATATAATAAAAATGTTGAAAGTTTAGATATAAATATAGCTAATTCTGGTTTGGTCAAGCGAGTGTGTCTATTCACTTTTCACTTGTTATCACTACACTGATAAGATAACGCTCCCCGCCGTTAAATAAACCAGTGATAATAATGGTGCTGATCATCTATTTCTACTTATTTATTTAACATCATTTATCTGTTTAGATAAAAAATATATTGAGGGTTGCCCCTCTCATAATATTGGATTACTTTTATGCTGTTATTATTAGGTACTACCTGAGACTCGCGCGTTCCCTTATTCAGATTCTTTGTTAAATTATGAGGATTTCAAGAATTTCAATTATAATTTTTATGACTCTTTTAATTTTAATATTATGTTTATTAGGAATAGTGTTAACAAAGGAGGACTTATCTCGAAAAGAGATCTGTTGAGTATAAGGTATAAGTTTACAATTAGGTCATAAATAAACCTCTCACCAATTTTTATTAATTTTTCTAAGACAAGTCTTCGGATTTCTGTTCCCGTGAGTGGTCGAGTCCTCATCTTCATCTGTGTCACCTCCAATCGTTTGATATACAATGTCTTGACGGCCTTGGTGACCTAGCGGTTAAGCGCTCCGCTTTAATTTGTATGGTTGCAGGTTCGATTTATCGCACGATACAAATATTTGTATTCATAAGATTGTTTGTACATATATGTATATATATTTTTCTATGTACATATGTTATGTATGTATTTAAAATAAAAATATTTACGTATTAATATCAGTTATCGATTAATATCAGTGACGTTGTGTATTTATGATTATTAATGTCATACTTTGACAATCTCACCTCCCCTTAACATGTGACTTGTTAAGGGGAGGTGGTAATTTCTACATGGCGCCCTATGTAGAGCCAATGTAGATACCTAACGTCTAAATACGTTAAAGGCACGCTCACACCGCATCATATAAACTGCAAATAAATATTATAAAGGTCATTTATCAACATCTATTATAAGAAGTTATCGCGTCTTGGTAAGTGTAAAGGTTAAAAGTGCGTTCGGCCGGAAAAGGGTCGCATCATGAGCATCGCTAGCTGGAAATTAACGTGGGTGGTAGTAGGGCGTAGTAGTTCGTGATTCAGATTCCAGTGAGTTCACGCACACAAACAAACACTCGTGTACATATTACTATTTATTTATATGTTGGTACTAGCTGTGCCTGCGGTTTTTATCCGCGTTAAATTTCAATAGCCATATAATACATATTATTCTGATGCATAAGCTATATTATTGTAAACTTTCATCCAAATCCATTCAGCAGTTTTTGCGTGAAAGAGTAACAAACATCCATACTTACAAACTTTCGCGTTTATTTTCGGGTTTACGCATGTGTCCATACCACCTAAGTCTACATTCTTTAAGGTATTCTTTTCGGTAATAGCTATCACTCTGAAGTTGCCCCTTACATGCTCATTTCGGACTTTATCCCTAAGTGTAACTCCACCTGCCCAACGAAGCATACTCATTTCAGTTCAATCTGCACCCTACAACCAAATAGACGAGAAAGTCAAGCAGCTTGGAGGCTGAAATAGGTGAAACTAACATATGAAATGAGTGGTTATACGTACGACTATTTATAGTTTACCTCTGATATATAAACGCAATTCACCATATAATCTTAATTTCACTTACTTTGGTTTGCTCGATAAAGGTATAACTTTGTGTAAACTTAGATTGTAGATAAACTGTACCTTAGGTTTAATTTTCCAATAAACAAAGTTATTCTTATTCTTCAGTTCAGTTCGTAACTATCGCAAACTACTTTTTTTAGTTCTTACGTTCCCCACTTGGGTCAAAGAAAGACTTTGATAACCTCTACGTCTATGTTTTTTCTACAAATATATGGTGGTTTATTAAAAAACGAATTTTTGCATTTTAATATGAACGACGATAGAAGAAAAGTAAAATGCAGATAAGGCTTATTGCATTTTATCGAACGAACTAAAGATTTAAGGAGCGACGAACTTGTAAACTACATAGTTCGTGTAGTTCGTATTTGGTCTAAACTCTATACAAGTCTAGTGGGCAGACTGCGGTGGAGTTGAGTTGCTTATTCTAATATACCTATACAGAAATATCGGATGTAGTTCAAAGCAATTTATTTCTCTATGGTTAAAGTCTTGTTTTTTATGATACTGGAAAATCATAGATAAATAAAGGATTGTGGGATGGAGTGCAGAGATTTTGCCTGGAGAGTACAGCCTTAGGTTTTTATAAAGGATATATTAAGGTTTCAGTATGGGGCACGTTATATGGGGTAGGTACCCTGGATTTTCAGGTGTCCATAGGCTACGGTAACCGTTTATAATCAGATGGGCCGTATGCTTATATACTACAATTGGGTATGTAAAACATGCAAAGGGAGAGAAATATTTTTTTTCTTTATTTATTTTGCTGCAATCACAATATGATGGTGTTAGCTAATTTTTATAATTAGAAGAGTCTCACCTATTTCAGCAAAGCATTGACAATAAAATTACAGGATTCCGTGAAGATCTAATATCAGGGGCGTATACATATATATGTACCAGCAGGTGGGTTCTAAGTATGTTTATCTTGTTAGTTAAACATATAAAATAATATGCATCGAACCGTTATCCCATAGCGCTATCGCATACCTCGAAATCCACTATCTAATCTAGCTAGTAACATACTGAGATTGGTATATTTAATATGAGGTAATTGCAACCGTACACCAACTCATATCATAGATTATATAGTCCCTGAAACAAGGCAGCATATATAACACGTTAAGGACCGCATGCCCACCGGTGCGGTGGGGCACTCCGCAACGAAAGTAAATTTACACGTTTGGACCGGGTGATCATCCGTGGATACTTTAATTGAAATAAATCTAGGGACTAAATAATGTCTACTTCAAATTATTATATTAAAAAATAATATACGTAATTAAAAATAAAAAAAAGCCGGTCCCTATGTGAGAAATAAGATTTTTCAATAAGTTCTTCAACGTGTCAAATACTAGCAACTTCGTCCGTGTGAAGTTTAACTTTTACTTAAGTTGCTCAAAACGTTCAACGTCATCGACCGAGATGAAAAATAA